CCCCAAAACCCCAAAACCCCAAAACCCCAAAACCCCAAAACCCCTTTATAATTTTTTCTCCCTGAATCTCTATTTAATAAGAATAATGAGCTTTCTTCTGCCAGTAATCTCTAAACTCATAATCAACTTCTTCTTGGTCTTTCCTAAAACTAGTGACATCAGGATGCCTGCTGGCATCGTAACTATCCATGACGTAACCGACTGGGAGTCTGCCTTCTTTTTGATAGTCAAGGTGCTTCCAGACCTTTTTGACGAGGGAGAACCTGTTCTTGTTCATCGGTTGGATGAAGGTTTCTAAGAACTCGTTGATGTTTAGTTTACCTCCTTCTTCTTGATGGCAGAAGGAGTTGTAGAGATGCTCAACATCGATATCAATCATTTCTATTTCATAGTCTGAGAACGCCTGTTTGAACTCATCTTGAGATAAGTAACCACTCTTGCTTGTGTCATAGAGGTTTAACTGGCGCGAGAAGCCAATCAGACCTTTGACTCCTCTTGGCCGAATGCAATCCATGAGTCTACGGAACAATATCTTTTGGAATTTAGGGATAATTTTTGGTTGCTCTGGTAAGAATCCAAAGCTTGAGTCACTAGTGTAACTCCTATTTTCATCAAAAGAGGCCTCTGAACGAGTATAGTTCTCTTTGTAGTTTTTCTCCCCAATTTCTTGGTACATTGGCTTAGTGTGAGAAATAGGATCAAGCTTCTTCACATTCTCAGCAGTCAGCTCTTGATTATATCCTGGTTGAGCTTTTGGATGAAAATCTGCATGGGGCATTGGATAAGGCTCTGGTCGAGATCTTGTCTCAGAAACTGGCTCTGATTTTGCTGGAGATGGAGTCTGCTCAATTTCATGTCTATTGATTCAGCAATCACACTTACTTTGGAGGGCTCTCTCTCATTTTGATTTCTTCCTGAGGAGACTCCTGCTGCTGAAGTCCAAAAAGCTCATCTAGAGAGATGTTAAATAATATTAAGCAGTATATCTTACCTAAGAATTGATGATAACTCAGATTCCCGTCTTTGTTAAGATCATAAGCGTCAAATAAGACCATAAATTGGCTCTCTAGGAGATTCAGGTCCATTTCTCTTAAGATCTTGGAGAGCTCAAATTTATTAACAAATCCTTCCTGGTTAATATCAACTATTTTAAATTGTCTGTGAAGAAGTGCGTAAGCATTGGGACCTCTGACCCTGACTCTTTTACGAAGCTCCTGGAGAATCATTTCAAGAGTGTCTGTGTTAGGATCCTTCATCCCACTTCTGACAATTCTTGGAGTTTGGTGGGAGCTTTCAGCATCTCCATGCTGGCTGTATGTCTCTGACTGGCTCGGAGTGTTCACATCGTACCCAGTTTCGTATACAGGGGTGGTTAAGGGTTTGTGGACTTGATTATCAACAACAGAGTCGTAAGACTCTGGATTATAAACCTGTCTGGCATAAGTTCGATAATCTAGCAAATCCGAGTTGCTGGAAGGACTTGCTGAATTAGAATTTACTCTTTCTACTACCTGTTCGAAAATCTTTAAAGCATTTGGTTTTGTAAGTATCACTCCTACTCTCTCAAGTGTTTTATAAAACTGGGTAAAATCAATAAGTCCTGTCCTGTGGAAATCAAAGAACTGGAAACTTTTAACAAGGTATCTTTCTTCCATCTGTCCTGAGGGGCATTTGCTGTCGACCTTGAATCTGAGGTCGGCTTCAAACATTTCGACAAATTTACCACTGACTGCCATATTTAAAATTCAAATATTTCCTCGAAAATTGGGGTTTTGGGGTTTTGGGGTTTTGGGGTTTTGGGGTTTTGGGGTTTTGGGG